GCTGAAGGCACTGTTGGGGCCAGATGATCTAGTATGGCCTCAGCTGGGATGTCTCACCTCTGCTCTATGCAGTCTCTCAATCCCCAGCAGGCTCATGTGGGCTTGTTCAGTTAGTGACTGAGCAGGGTTCCAAGAAAGAGTATAGAAGCTGGCAAGTTTTGAGGCCTAGGCTCAAAACTGGCACACTGTCACTTCTATCTTATCCTATTGGCCAGAGCAAATCATAGACACAACTAAGAGTTTGGGAAATGCACTTGCTGTCTTGTCTTGAGGAGCTGCAGGTCACATTGCAAATGTTGAACAGAGGGAAGAGTGAACAATTGGGACTATTACTGTAATCAGTCTGCCACAGTAGTTGAAAAAAATTAAGCCAAGTTCATTTTTAGAGGTAGACAATCTGGAACAGGGGTATATCTCACAACATCTTTAGGGACCCAGGTTATGTTTCACCACTCTATCATCTTTAACTTGTAGCCTCCATCTTCAAGGTCACTTCATGGCCTCAGATGGCTGCGAGAGCTCCAGACATCACATATGTGTTCCATAAAAGAGGAAGGGGAGAGCAAAAAAAGATGTACTTCCAAGTAGAGTCAGGCTCAGTTAAAAGCTCTCCCGAAAGCTCTACGTAGTGAATCTCTTTCCAACTGCCATGGCCTGTGGGAAATGTCTTTTAGCTGAACTGAATAGAATTGGAGTCCGCTAGTAAAGGTGGGAGGATAATGGGTGTGGCTATGGGTTAATTTATAGTTCCAGAAAAGGACATTTATTACTTACTTCAAAAACCTTGCATTAGCCCTACTCTGTGCCAAACCTGGGAAAGGGAGGCAGATGACCGCTCTGCACTGGGTGAACACACAGGGTGGAATAGACAAGATAATGGTCAGTTGACCCCCATTTGTCAGACCCTCCCAGAGCCTGGCCTCAGGCTGTGCCCTGGGGACCCTGTGTGAGTCACACCAGCCATGCGGAAGGCAGACGCGCTCTGAGGGTCCAGAGTGTGGGTGCTGAGAGCCGTATCTTCCTCTAGCAATGCTGCGACTGCTGTGGCCTGGGACTTCGCGTGCGGGCTGAGGGCCAGTCGTGTGAGTCCAACCCCAACCTGGGCTACCCCTGCAACCACATCATGCTCTCTTGCTGTGAGGGTGAAGACCCCCTCATCGTGCCTGAGGTCCGCAAGCCTCCGGAGCCCGTGGCCACACTGCAGAGAGGTGGGTGCTGCCCCTCCTTGGCTGGGACATCGGGGTCAGTTGGGTGAGGAGGAGAACTGTTGGGGCTCCTGGTCAAGGCCGGGTGCCTCTGGCCTTCTGTGGGGACCCTGGGCCCACTGTCTTCTGTGGCTTGAGGCACAAGCTCTGGTCTTGACAGAGTTCTGTGGCCTCTGACTGTGGGCTCTTTCCCGTTATTTCCAAGATGGTAATCTCATTCAGTTTTCTGTGTACTGTCCACTCTACCTAACCATCAACGATGACCCATCACCCCTCCATTGTCCGCTCACCACCCTCCCATCTCTTTGTCCATCTACACATCCATGCATCTTCCTCCCCTTCCACTCAGTAATCCACTCTTTTATCCATCCGTCTATCTCACCTGTTCCTTACCCTTCCTCTCAATCTCATGTCCATCTCTCCACACATTCGTCCATCCACTCCCTCACTCATCCCCAAACCCGTCTCTCTACCTGCCCATCCACCCATTCAGTCATCCATCC